TGTTGCTGTATGAAAATATGCCCAGAACTCAACTGTTCAGCTACAAAAAAAAATTACTTTAAAAGTTTATAAAAGATATTTCTAAGTATTTTTGAAGCATACATTTTAAAACGTCCTTAATTAGAATTTAAGTTCAACGAACAATCTTTTACATGTATTTTAGTAATGAAGTGGTTATAAAAGTAATATAAAAGTCCCCAAGTCATCTAAACACCCATAAGAAACTTTTTCATCAAAAGCAAGAAGATAGAAAACTGACTGAAAGAAAAAGTCAATGTCTCCTTTATGGATCATAGAAGTTCAAAGAATATTTCAGCTTCATAATTATTTACTTTGGAGGGGGTTAAGAAATTTTTTCCTTTTAGGAAAAAAACCCCCTACAACCCAAATTAAGCTTCACAGAAAAATGAAGAAAAACTCAGAAAAACTCAGCATTTAAGAGCTATAATATTGAACTTTAAGGATATTCTGAGCACTTCTATACCACACATACCACAGAGATGAATTAGAAAAGAGTAAGAAGAATGTAATAAACATGTCTGAAAATACTGCTGATTAAAGTAACACTTGGCATTGCATTCCATGAAGTTGAGCTAACAGGTATATATAACATCCCTAAAAATAAATTAAGGATCCGGACATTTGTACTGAAAAGGAACTCAAATCAGCCACATTTGACCTTAACCAATACCTAGAGGGGTTTTGTTTGTTTTAAATTATCTCAAAAGTTTCTTATCCCTCTCCATCAACTTAAGTCCTCTCATTCTGTAAGAACTACTAGCATTTTACAGTATTCCTAGAAACAGTGATGAAAAACCGTGATGGAAGAAAACAAACATTCCACTGAATGTTTCTTGATCAATGTCTGTGATCTGAAAGCTGTAGCTTCTCAGGCTAGAAAGGAATTAATCTGCTTGGCCTATACTTCCCTTGCCTAAAGATGCCTAAGATGATTCAGACACATGTGTAGATGACCATACTGACTGCCTGAAGGATGAGGCTGGGCTAGATGACATCCTAAGATCCCCTCCAGTGGGAACAGTTTTGATATTGCATCATGGTTTAGCAGTGGTATTCCCCAATGCACAGCTGATGGTTCTGTCCCACCTTTCCTGCAAACTTGGTGTAACCCCGAAAGCAAAACCCATAAGTAACCTCACACCTCAAAATCACTTTAGAACTACAATAAAATGGTAGATAGTCAAATTGTATGAGGAATTTTGTATCATTTCTCCATCCTTTTTGGGGCACAATTTCTTATTCTGCTCAGAGAATTCCAAAGCACATATTTTCTCCTCTGCGTAGGCTTTGCATGAGTTCCTCACACTTGGAAGCTTTCAGTGATATTGGTTAATTGCCAGATTTCAGCCACCTCTCTAACCTCTCCCTTTCAGTGGGCGTGAAAGGGTTTACTTGTAATATATATTGCCCCTGACTGAATTTTATCTTGTTCTCCTGGATTCTCATCAGCAATTCCCAAGTTAGAGGCTTCCCCAGAAAGTACGTCAAAGGATTCCCACCCACACACTGAATATCTAACAGACCCTGACCCATTTTCTCCTTATTAAAGCAGCACTACATATTTTAAAGAATAAAAATAATAAACAGAGATCCTAAATGAATGCAAGAATTGCAGTGGGAACTCTACCCTCTTCAGATTTTAGTTCTGGCAAAATTGTTGTCGAAAAGCAAAGAGACACACTTAAAATACAAACATCAAAAGTATTTTTCCTCAGTGTTTTCATTCTGTGACTTATTACTCCACCCATCTTTCAGCTAAGTACAAGGAGAACTTCATTTATAAATTCTGAATATAGAAAAATCCCCTTATTTAACCATTCCTATCTCCTCTTGTAGCAATGTCTTTGGGTATATTTCACAGAATCATAGAATAGATAGGGTTGGAAGGGACCTCTGGAGATCATTTAGTCCAGCCCCCCTGCCAAGGCAGGGTCACCTAGAGCAGGTTACACAAGAATGTGCCCAGGTGGGGTTTGAAAGTCTCCAGAGAGGGAGACTCCACGACCTCCCTGGGCAGCCTCTTCCAGTGCTCTGCCACCCTCAATGGAAAGAAGTTCTTCCTCATGTTGAGGTGGAACTTTCTGTGGTTTAGTTTATGGCCACTGCTCCTAACATGCCATCATAAAAGGCTATCAGTTTGGTCAGGCAATATTTCCCCTTGGTGAACCCATGCTGACTGCTCCTGATGACCTTCTTTTCTTCTACGTGCTTTGTGGTGACCTCTAGAATGATATGTTCCATCACCTTTCCCAGGCTGGAGGTGAGGCTGACTGGTTGGCAGTTTCCCAGGTGCTCCTTCCTGTCCTTTTTGAAGATGGGAGTAACATCAGCCTTCCTCCAGTCATGGGGCACCTCTGCTGTTCTCTATGATCTTTCAAAGATGATGGAGAGTGGCACAGCAAGAACATCTGCCAGCTCCCTCAGCACTGGTGGGTGTATCCTGTCAGGTTATGGGTGTTAAATCCGCCTAGCCAACATTACAGAACCTCAGAATCAACTAAAACAGAAGAGGAGGTTTATACCTCTGTGCTGCAGTTATTCAGTCAGGTACATCTACAGCTGTGCTTCTCACAGAAGGGACAGCCCTACACCTCCCTTAGGTTGCTTCTGCGTGCTACCATTGCCATTTTTAAGCGAGCACAACTATTTCTGTGGCTCCCTGGTGAACCAAGGAACTGAGAATGGACCTGACCAGACACAGATGTCAACTGGATGAACTCCCTGAGCTTTTGATGCCCACACAGGCTTGAATTGAACTGACACGAGGTTTATTTCTAACACAGTGAAGAAAACAGGCAATAAAATCCTATAATATTAGATCAACCATCTTTCAATGAATATTGAAAAAAAAAATCCATTTATAAAAGCTGCGAATCTCATAGGTAAATCCCTTATACTCCACTGATTTGTAATCAGACACTAACTTTACCTGTTATTTATAAATTATATACTTACAGCTCCTCCTTTCCTCTTGCAACTGACCTCCCAGGGATAGCAGATTAATAATTAGCACATATACCATACATGAACATTCTTTTACCTTAATTATCAACACAAACTGTAATGAAAAAAGATGTATTTACCTTCTGAAAAATGATCCACCTGTTCTTTCTAATAAGAAAGACAGAAAAGGAGGGAAAACACCAGAACAAATAAGAGCACTGCTCTGTATCCTACAATACATATTCAGGTGGCATCCAACCATCTTTCACTGATCAAGACTTTTCATCAACAACACTATGCTGTTTAAGAATCCACTTCATTCTAAGGATAACTTGCAGCTGTAAAGGTGGACAACACCATGTCTGGAGTCCAAGAACAAAGTTTATAGAGTTTTACAAACAAAAACGAGAACTAGGAGACCTCCTTTGTTTAATAAACCCCAGTGAGTTACATCAATTGTAATGCTATATTAATTAAAGCTCATCCTTTCACAACTTTAGGCAAGCAGAAAACTAACAATGTCAATCATTGGCAGAACAGCATCCAACACCTGTAAAATCCATCTGAAAAAATAAACTTTTTTCACATCCAGGTTTTCATAAGTACTTTACAGATAAACACATATTGAGTCAGAGACTGCACACTGTTGTCTTATGTTGTGTGAATGTTTCTAAAAGACTGGCTTTTTTCTATGACACAAAGAACAGAAGACTTTACAACTCCCGTGACATTTGGCTTAAATTGAAAGAAAACTTCCCTTGACAATATTGTCCACAGTATTCCTTCAAAAAGAGTATTCTCTGGAGAAATAACAGTTGAGAGGAATTCCACAAATTTGTAAGTTTATACTGCATGTCACTTCAATCCACAAAGAACTGAGAACTAAGAGAAATATATTGAAGTGGTTTTACAGAGTAGGATGACCAGAAACTGGGCTATGCTGTCTTGTCACATGCTTGCATTTCTCCCACTGGACCTCTGTCAAAGACACTTGAAGAGAGGAATGCACAGTTTAGCCTTTAATCTTAAAAAATATGAGGAATACCTTCTGCATTGCTTAAATATTACTGCTGACTTAGAACTCCTTTTTATGTGGCAAAACTTCACTGAACAACCAAGTGTTTCTTCAGCCACCTCTTCGAGTTTTCTTCTTCTTGGAAATATTTGGTTTTCCTCGTGAAAAAGCCATTTTTAAATAAATACTCTAATGTTTTCAACCAAACAGTGAGTATCCTCTCCTTGCTATTTGACCTAAATTTCTTAAGTCTTAATAATTTCGTATTATTTAGTTTCGTATCTACACATTTTTACTTCTTGGTCAAATTTGAAAATATCACTTTCTGAAAAGCTCATATTCAACTCTATGTTGCACACTTTTGCATGAATGCACTGATGCTCTGACTGGGCTCTTATTTGAACAAAAAAAAAAAAGAAAGGAATAAAAACTTCGCATAACTAAAAAATTGCATTTAGCAATTGTTCCTTTAGTAAATTCAGCACTCTATTTAAAAAGAAAATTGAAGCATAAGCTATACACAGAAATAGTAGCTTATTAAATTGTTCAGTAGTTTCTGAAGCCAGTGGCAAAATACTTAACAAACCTAACACTGAATTACTATTATTTTGGGGGGGGGGTTAATTAAAATATTCATAACCCATATTTAAATGACCTCATTATTTAAATTCTATTATTCCATTGTTTTCTGTGAAATATTTACCACAAAGACATGTTTTTGTACCACTGCCATCAGAACCATCTCAAGGTAAACGGAACACATGAATCTTTTTTTTTTTAAATCCATTTTTAAATGTAAAATTGGCTACTTGATGCATGGGCAAAATTAAGAGTACTGAATATGCATTTAACTCCAAAAATCTCAGAAGAAGTTGCATGCAAATATCTCCTGCTTAACAGGCTACACGCAGCATATAATGCTACTCTATGATAAGCCATTAAAAACCATAAAAATACATTAAATTCTGTATAAAATACCAAAGGATCTCAACCATATTTAAGAGAGGAGAAGACAACTCACGGGTGGGATTCTGAAAGCTGCTGAGCTATTTTGTAAGCCGTGGGATCCCTGTCCAGGGCATACACGGTGATGTCGTCGGCCTCCTCCAGAAGAGCTCTCGTGTGACCCCCGGCTCCAAACGTCATGTCGAGGAAACGCTGTGGAGTGAAAAGGGCACCACTTTTACCTCAGAGCAGTGATAAACTGAGGGTTGATTTAATCTCTAAATCTCCCTCATGTACTGGAGGAAAACATACCAACACCTTTCTGGAAATACTTTTGTATTTTGTGCACAGTTGCAACCGTGGCAGAGTAACCTGCTGAGGGGTTGTGACCTCCCTCCCCGAAATCCTCCCAGAACAAAAGGTCAATCATTTGGTACAGCCAACTGCAGCTTCCTACTGTTCCCATTTCTTTACACTGTGTGTTCAGAGGAAAGCCACTTATTGGAGTGCTTTATTTGGCCTTGCTCAGTTTGATGGTTACAAAGATGTGTAGGATATGGGATTACAGGCAGCAATTGGCACTACTGGTTTTGTAAAAACATGTCTAAAAGGACAGCTGATGTACTGTGCAATAATTAAAAAAAAAAATGACACTATCATATAAGTTTTATACCAGAGATCAAAGTGTGAATTGTCCTGACCGGGACTAATCTAACTAGCCTAGAAAATGGAAGTTTTCAAGACAGTAACCCATAGATTTTGGGTTCACTGTGCTTGGTATTTAGCTATGTATTTAGGTTATTAAGCTACACTGATGTTTAGTCCTAATATATCTTCTCTACCATCATAACATGTTCATGTTAATTAGATGCAGAATAGCACAGGAAAACCCACCTTAACAGCAATCCCATTTCAATTGCTGATGTGACATAGTCTGTGGGCTGGAGTTATACCTTTTGATAAGCCATAAATATTTCCTTGCTTCTGAGGAATACTGACTACCTTAGAATAGATACCAGGCCTGTTTTTTATTTTACAGAAACTAAGACTGGAGGATTTTTAGTAATACCAGGCAAACACAGCCACTCTCTCCGGTCTTCTGAACTAAAACTGACAACACATTCAAGGAACTTGGAATGTGCTCTAAAACACATGTAGGTACAAATTCAGCACCAACTGAGTAACACTGGACATTGCTGTGTGCTGGACATTTTGTCCAAAAGGATCCTATGAGAGAAATATTGAAAGCTTTACTGAAACCCAAAAAGATTCCATGAACTGGTTTCCCTTGATCAGGTTTGATAAGCAGGACTTTCCTCTCGGGAAGCCGTGCTGGCTGTGACCAGCGACTGTGTTGTCAAGTGTTTTTCAATACTTCCCAGAATAATCTTCTCCATAATTTTACCAGGCCCTGAAATGAGTCTGTAGTTTGTGGGGTCCTCCTTCCTGCCCCTCTTGAAAACTGGGACAGTGTTCACCAGTTTCCAGTCAGCTGGGAGCCCCCTTCGGATTTCCCAAGACCACTCAAAAATCATCAGGAGAGGTTTTGCAATGACATCAGCCAGTTTTTGAGGATTCTTGGATGAATCCCATCAGGTCCCATTGATTTGCAGGGATCCAGGTGGAGCAGCAGACCCTGCACAATTTCAGTCTCAATTGGGAGCTGATCATTCTTGCAGTCATGGTCCTCCAGCTGAGGACCCCTGGGTCCGTCCTCCACGTTGAAGACAGAGGCAAAGAAAGGCTTAAACACCTCTGATTTCTGTCCATGATTTTGAGATAACCACCCTCATCCTCGACAGGATGATGATGTTTCTATACTGCCTATTGCCATTGATATATTTGAAGAAACTCTTTTTATTGTCCCCACAGTAGCAAGCAGCAACTCTGTATTCTTTTCATGTCACTTGGTCTTGCTTCTGCTGGGCATACACCTTCCTTTTTTGCCTTATCTCCAAGAGAAGATTCCTGTTCAGCCAAGCTGGCCTTCTGCCTCGTCTGCTTGAGTTCCAATACTTGGGAACTGCCTGCTCCCCTGCTCTTTGGAGGTGTTTTTTGAGGCTATTGTATTTATGGCAATGCATCTAAACCAAAGCAGAAATGTGACTTTGGTTTCTGCACCTTGGAATCCCCGTAAGTCTTTTCTCTCAGTTGACTGAACTCAGTTCACTGGGGGGGGAAACTCAGACTACACACAGCTTAAACTAGAACAACAAATTCTCCATATATTTCAATATTAGTACCTGCAGGGCTTTCTTCCCACTTCTCAAGTTTTTTTTTAACATGAAATAGTTTTGAAGATCACTTACCAGCCACAATCATATTAAACAGAAATTGATGCGAACTAAACTTCTTTACAAAAATTACACACCACAAGGGTAAGCACCTTTTAAGGGAAATTCTCTAACTTATCTCTTGAAAGAATTAAGATTCAACCACAAAATCCCCTTGGAACAGAACAGAAACTCAAAGGCAATGAAGAAAGACACAAATACTTTTTCAGAAACACTTTCTAGAAAACATAAATAAAGGCTTATTTATGGCAATTCCACAATAATAAAGCTGAATACTTAAGAGTCTAATAATATAACTCTACCGTTGCTAAAATTAAGTGCAATTTATGATCTTTTAAGATAAAGCTCCATTATTTAATTTCTTTGTGTTCTGCCATCACGTTTCCTAAGCTTATGCTCTAGAAGCAAAAAACTCTCCTATAATATTTTACAAAGTTCATGGAGGAAACAAAATTTAATTGGGTGATCACCCAATATTAAATGGCATCATTTGTATGAAAAAATAAAGCACTGACACAGATTTTTTTTTTTTTAAGCAGTATGTATAAAACAGAGGACAGAACATCCATACTGCATAAATGCTCCCCCTGATCTATTTAAGCATTCTGATTTATCTTCTGCCATAACAAAAACAAAAGTGTACTCACTGAAACTAATTTATAAGCACAGAACTGAAACAGTCAGAAAAGTGTGGTTGTTTCTTTAGCACAACTACCCATAAGAATTTAGCTACATTTTGAAAATACTTGCAACATGTTAAAAATTCCAAGCATTTTCTCTGTACGTTCTCACACGTCACTGTTTTTTTTATTTCTCTTTAATGAAAATTACTAATATAAAAATGTTAACTCTTCATTTAGCTTAGAAAATTGCAAAAACGAACATGAAGTCTAGAAAATATATAAATCCTCTTAAGTTGCTTTTAAAATTTCCAAGATGTACCTGATATTTTTGATTTCCACTCAAATTATTTCCATTTAATCCTTACCAGAAGTAATGTACTTAAGCAATAAACAGACCTTTCTACTTTTATCTTCTAGTTCTGTAGAGAAACCCATTTAGAAAAATCCCTTTAGAAAAATGTGAAGGAACAACAGAAAATTAAAACCACCTTTTTATTTCTTGCATAGGATTAACCCACTCAGAAAAGCACTCAAAAAACTTAGTCACAACAGTCCCAAGTGTCATTTAGGATTGCACTTATTCTGCAGTAACACATAACAATCAAAACCCATCTAAATTACATCATAATTCCTCTTGGAAGAAAAAAAAGTTTAATCAGCATGAGTCACGTCTTCATGATTGGGTTTGGTTGTTTTGTTCTAAAAAAACCAAATAAATGCTCTTATTTAATATCATAGCTAGAAACTTAGCAATAAAATTTTCAAAAACCTCAACATTACCTTTCCCGAAACAGACCTACAGTGTTGGCAGGAAGAGTCAAGGATGGTATAGGAAATGCCCTATAATTAACTATATTTTATTTAAAAAAAAAAAAGTTTGGAATAATAATTTTATTCCACTTAAACTCACTAGTAACATGAATTTCCAGAAAATAGTCTTTCCCCACTAATAAGTTTAGCAATTTGCCTATTTCTTGCATGTCTCTATGTTTTCTAAACATCTAACTCCTTTTTGGTCACGTCTACAAAGTATTGTACCCCTCTCCCACCAACACTTCCAAATGTTTCCTCAGGTTTGAATAGCATGATATGAGAAAACCTTTTTGGCCAAATCTCCAGACAATTTTGCTCATTTAGGCAATATTTATTATTGTTTGTTTGGGTTTTTTTCAGATGAGCTTTTGAAGATCTTCTAGCTCGTTCAAGAACACCTCTCCTCCCGGACATCTGCTTCTGCTTTCATTCATTTTAAATGTGATAAACTTTAAGACTGATAAACCCCTTACACATGCTGAATGTTAGTGAACCATACAGATCATCTTGTAAATAAACCAAAGATTAATACCAGCAACACAAAGGAGAGAACAGAAAGGACAGGGCTCATTGTACCATGACACAGTGACAAGCTCTCAGTACTGTGAGAGCACTGACAAGCTTTAGTTAAGAATCCATGCAAGCATTTACTGTGAATGAACACATGCTCCTGAATTCCACTGCCCTTCCTGAAAGAACCACCACAAGGCAGCTGAACCTTTAAGGAACAGCAGACAACTCTAACGTGATCTTCAACCTGGGAGCACCGAACACAAGAGGATACAGTTCTGATTCAGTCCACATCAAATACTGCCTCACCAGAACTAATGGAATCAGCATCCTAGAAAACCCAATTAAAGCTACATTAAGTACATTCTGTCATAACTTTTCCAGGTAAAGGCCTTCCATGGGTAATCTCTGAACTGCATTGATACATATACCCAAAGCTGCAAGCAAGAACTCCCACAGATGCCTCATACTCCAGATGTTCCACTCAAAAGCCATATTTTGCATTTAGAACCTAAAAAAAATTTAAATATCACCTCAAGTTATCAAATAAAATAATTCTGTTATTAACACAACCATTTTGGAGCATTGATCAGATTTCAAATTAATCACTGTAATATACTGCTTCATAATATGCTTCTTATATATTCCATTCATCTTTCATGCCTGAAATAAAAAGGCGCTTCATTTTTTTCCTTCCCCTTTCTCGCTTGCCTGGTAGTTTTTAATCAAATAAAATTAAATGACATTTTATCCTCCTGGTCCTATAAATACTGGAAAAGATTATTACATGAATTGCTACTGCAGTGACTCACCGTTCCATTGTTAAGTTATGATAGTCCCATCAGAGCCCCCTCAGGAATCTTATAATCAGTTTGTGACTATATGTTTTAGAAACCACTTGGCTCTTTCATGACATACAGACAGCAACAAACAAAAACTTCGTAGCTTTCACTGTACGAGGAGCTCTAGTACA